TGGTTTAGAAGTTAGATTCTAAGGATATAGTTAATTATTCTATCTTTTTGGAGATATATTAATTATTTATACATAGATAAAAACTATCCTAACTATTATCCAGTTAATTAATTATTATTTTTATAATATTCATTATTTCTTTCTAAATTAAAATTATTTTAGCTGCTCTTTTTATAGCTAATATTAATTTATTATATTAGATTAATATTTTAGAAGATCTAATACTAATTATTATTTTTATAATTTCTTAATAAGCTAATTAGGTTTGTAAAGAGTAATTAGAACTATAAGATTAGCTATTAAGGTCTAATATAAACTAGTAAGATTAGTATAGAGAGAGGGTATGATAACTATATATTACCTAAGTAAGGAGAACTAATTACTAAGTTATAGAATACTTAGTAACTTATAGAGATAAATATAGTGTATTATATAACTAGGTGCATATATCAGCATTATGGGCTAATATAAACCCTTAACACTTACTATCACTATTATTTGAGGAATATTATAATCTATCAAGCAGTTTAAGAATTTTCATAACTGCTTATTAGAATTAGATTATAATTAGTTTAGTATAGTATAAGAGCCAAGGCTGATTTTATAACCCTTCTATCTATATTTATAGTAAGCTCAATTATTTTAATAATATAACTTTTATTTATATATTCCTTTCTTTAGTAAATCAGGGGATAGATATAATAATAGTATTTTAGTAAAAATTTGTTAGATTTATTAAAGAATTAAGGCTGTATCTAAATATATAAGATAACCTCTTATTTATATTTGATGAATAATAAATTTATTGAAATTAACTATCTATTACCATTTCTCTATCTAGTATAGGTATATATAAAGTTTACTAGCTTCAAGTTAGTAATAAATTTATAAATTATATATTATAAATTCTATCTCAAAAATCTCTAATAATTCTTATGGAAAATATAGTATAAAATTATATTACTTAATTTCTTTAAGTACATCTCTTATATTATTTCAGATATTAGTATTTTCTTTAATCTTTTGAATTTATCTTAAACTTTTTATTTAAAGATATCTATGATAATGATCATTATTATTAGCTTGTATTTAATATTTTATTCATGATTTTTATTCCCCTTTGGCTACTAGAGTAATACTTAATTATTATAATTCTTTAAATTTTTACAACATTAGAACTAAGACTTTACTTATTATAAAAGTAAATATAATTTATTTGAGCTTTTTTATTATTATATATAAAGATAAACTTAGGATTAGAGGGTTTTCAATATAGCTCAAGTATTTTAATTAGAATAAAAAAAGATAATAAGAATTAGAAGCTATAGATATAATTATATAAATATAGTAATCTTTTTCAGCTAAATGTTGTTATAGTAATTATATTTAATTAAAAAAGTTTAATTATTAATTATATAGTTAGATTAAGTTATTTCAAATATTTGTATTATTTATATCTTAGATAGTAAGGTTAAATTATAATTATAATTAAATACAATCATCTTTAAGTTATTATTATTATTATTATTATTATTATTATTATTAATGTACTTAAGTTTAGTACTATCTATTTTATTAAATAAATAATTAAATAAAAGTAGAATTCTAAGCTATAAATATTAATGGTATATTAAATTTACTTTGAAATACCTTGAATAGCCTAATTCAATGTTATTCTTCTAGGTTAGACTATTAGTATACTATTTATGATTTACAAGACTTAAAGTCTTAATATCAATAATTTATAATCTTATTGCAGGGAAGAGCTAAAGAATATCCTAGAGTAAAATAATTACTAATGTTAATAGATATCTAGATTAGCCAGTAGTCTAGAGAGATTAAGAATAATTCAATATAACAATAATAAGATCACTAAGGTATTTCCTATTAAAATTAAATTATTACTAGTATCCTTAGTAGAATTAAGATTACATCTTTTAATTCTACTATAACCAATTCAAATCCTTGGAATTTTTTTGATTATTTCTCAGAATTAAGTATTATATATTATCTAATCTAGATATACTACTGGATGTATATGATTGCAGGGTGAGATGGAGCCTTTAACTTCTCTATATACTCCTTTGAACGTCAAACCCATATACCCATTCATACCACCACACTAGTACACTACCATAGAATGTCACCACTATTTCTTACCTCATCAACAGGCTATCTACACTGACAAGTAGATTGCTTACATGTAACCTATAGAATCTCTTCTTTTTGTGCCATATTATAGAGAAACTAATATTAAAGGTATTTACTTAGCTAATTTCATAAATATACAGGCCTATGGTGTTCAGATGTATACATTTAACATATATTATTTATTATGGGAAAATAGGCTTACATTGAGCTAGCTCTCTATGTCATACTTGCAGGGTTGCCCTATAAGGCAACCCCATAACTAAGTGAAATGTTCAGGTAATGCATTGGCCGCATTAATAGACAGCAGATATAGAGAGTAAGCCATGCGACAAGATATTGGGAAATTGGCAATGGATGGATCATTGTGCTGAGATATAAAGCACTACATTCATTAGTACAGACAAAGAGCTGAAGAATGACTGAACACATGAGAATGAGACAGACCATTGTTTCCCCGAATGAAAGCATCCCCGTAACTTCGCCTTAATTTGCCATCCACAAATTCCTCAGATCTCTCCAGGGCAATATTCATATAACCATCTACAGATTGGAGCTCGCCTGTGGGGTTTATCAGCACAAATATAGTCATGTAAAGAACGGAGATGGTATAGAAACCTCTGTAGACAACTCCCGAATTTAGCTTTACTGTAACTGGAGCACCAATTATTTCGCTAAGGAAGGCAGATGGATCCCTCCCTTCAGAAGAAGCACCGTTCTCCATAACTCAGTAAACACCAGTATGCCGATGGTTGATAAGGTAAAGGAAAGGATAGAAGTAGAAGAAATGATAGTTTATAGCTAGCTGTTGGACTTGGAGGCTTAGTAGATGTTTATAAAAAAAGGAAGTACGTAGCTGAAGACAAATAGGCGGAGTTCTCACATGACAATGATTTAAGCATTAAAGGCTCTTTGACCATGCCCACACGTGGTGGTCCCACATACATATTCTATAGTCCCCATTAAAATTACTACATAGTGACCATTGCACAAAACAAATGCGCTCTAAATGTGAACCAGGTGAGCCAAAGTAGTCAAAACCAAAACTGGCATAAGAATATAGAGAAAGATAAACAACAACCGATCACAGGAGAGAGTCACTATCCTTCTTAGGTACTTCATTTCTTTTTAAATGAACACTGGTGTGCCAAAACTTCCTAGTTGGCTTGGTAATCTGATTTCAATGTGTGGCACTATCCGCAAATCAGCTCAGATTTGCACTGTGTAACCTGATCATTCCAACAAGCAAACCAACCAACACCTCGATTATCCATGCAATATAGCCGACGAGCGAACTGACTGGCCTGATGCGGTCATTCTTCAAGAGGCCTTCCTGGGCTAGCAAAGGAGACGAGCCAGTGAAGTCTGACTTCTACCGTCGTGCTGGACAAATCTACGGCGATATCATCACAACGAACAGGGAGGCTCGGGAGAGATCTGACTGCCGCAACAAGCCTGCAGCTGAAGATGGCAGGGCACGAAAACGCCATCATGTGCTGGATGATGGGAGCTTGGAAGAAAACACGTCCTTAGGCCTTGACGGTGGTTTCGAGCACAATATTTTATCGAAGAGTCAACAAGAGTGTGCATCTTCAAAGTTGACACCTTCTCCCTGCGACACTCTGGCGGAGGAAAGCATAGACAGCGAACTACAGAGACCGGCAACGACATATTCGGGTGTTCTAGACATAAGCGGAAATGTGCATCAGGATCATGACTCCGACTTAACCTTACTCGCGTCAGCCCAGCGCTGCAAAATGAATTTCAAAGACTCTTCTCAGTCTAAAATGAAAAGAGAGAGCAAGAGCATGAGCACCAACGAGCGTCTGGATCATCAGAGGGAAGCACGAGGCCAGAAGAAGGCACCAGGCGCTGGAATCCATCAAATTTCTGGCCCCAGAAGTGAAGATGTTATTGTGCAAATCCTGATTACCTCGCCGATTGAAGGCACAAAGCCGCTCATAGTTCATAGAAAAATGTCACAATCCTTGAGAGACGTTCGTCTAGCTTGGTGCAATCGTCAAAATCTATCGACAACAGTGCAAGCGTCTATATACCTGACTTGGAAGGGCAGGAGACTATTTGACGTCACAACGTGCAGAAGTCTCGGACTTGATATTAGCGAAACCCCAACTGACGATGAGGATATTGACAAGTATTCACAAATGGATGGGAAACCCTTGCGTATCCATATGGAGGCTGTAACAGACAAGCTTGTTGCCCCGGATACTCAACGACTTTCGCCTGTACTTGGTTCGCAATCGAAATTGAACGAGGGGCCGGATCAAAAGCCTTTAGTCAGGCTTGTATTGAAGTGTCCAGGGTTTGATAAGTTCGAAACAAGTGTTGCTTCGAACGGGCCTATTTCTCAGGCTATTACTGCATTCCGGCTCGCAAAGCGCATACCTTCAGAGCGAAAGATTCATTTGGTGTTTGATGGTGATCTCCTGAACCCTAATGCATTTTTTACGGACTATGACATAACAGATGATGATTTGGTAGATGTTCTAATCAAGTGAATGAAGCTGGTGATCTCTTCAACACTGCAGAAGATGCGGACAGTAGTGACTGCAACAGATATGAATGGGATATGACATATCAAAAGACTACCCAGTGCTAAAAGCTTTTTTTCATATTATATGTTGTAGTGAATACGGAACAAGCCAAAAAAAAAGTGAAAAGGGGGAAAAAAAAAAAAGAAAAGAAAGAAAGAACAAATGAAAAAGGAAATAAAATTGCTACCTACACCCACTTTCCGCAGGGTCTGAGATCAGGAACTATATTCCTTATCTTATCAAAGGCCTTCACTCAAATTTCACTCCAGCGTCCTATCACTCTGTGATACAAACACAATGAAGTTAGTGACTGCGAATTTTTTAACTTGCGCCGTCAAGGGGTGCAAGACGTCGTCAGCGTCATTTCCTCTCCACTTCCATGAAGCTGAGCTTGAACTTGAGGAGCTTGACTTCCAACCGGAATTCATACGCAATATTATTCCTCGCGTTGACTGGGATGGACTGCGGGTGACTGCGAATGAGGTAAGGTCGAATGTCTCCTGGTCTCGCTGGCATGTGTAGTTCCTGACATTCCCAAGCTTGGATTCTCCAATCTTCCCGAGAGAAAGCCCGAAGGGGACGCCCTCAATGACGAGCAGACATTGAAGGATCTGCATCGGTTGCTACTCGAGACACATGTTATTGAGGGAAAGTTGGTGTGCGGGAATTGCGGTCATGAATATATGATCAAAGAGGGAATTGCGAACTTCCTCCTGCCAAGTCACTTGGGTCTGGGATTCCCTGACCTCATCTATGTGATCGCTTGCTAACAGTCCATTTAATAGTCTGAAACCATACTGCATGGGGTTTGTCATCTCAAGTTTCCGCAGTTTGAGCTTAGGTATATTGCTCAGATGAACCAAGACCATAATGATCAGCCCACCTAAGCTGCCTTGTTAAAGGAATAGCAGCTGTGGCCTAACGGGTTCGAAATTCTGGTTGTATGACATACTTCCATAACAACATGCATTAATACTGTGGAATATATCATTGCAGTATTTCTCATATTCCCATGGTGAGCAACCGAGTGATTTGAAATTTATTGTACAAGGCATGTGTGATTCCTTCCGAGTCGCCATGAGCTAGATATCGGTGCCCCTGGGGCACGAAAAGAAGCCAATAATACATGTATACTTGCTCAAAGCTGAACAGAACATCGTAATGCGAAAGTTTGGAGCCAACTCCATCATTGTCTATGAAACCACGGCAGAGTGAGCAAGAATCCAGGCGGATCTAAGTGCGGCGCAATAAACGAAAGAACTTTGAAACTCGGAAGGCTTTTATTCTTGCCATTTTTGCACTTCATAGTGAGTGCAGGAGTGCAGTGTCCAGGTCAACAGAGGTATGTCGGGTGGCCTTAATTGAGAAACCCCTTACAACCAGTCGAACCGCAGAGACAGGGAATTCTGTCGTCACTGTCCCATTCCCTTTCGAATTTGTAGTCGTAGGTCAGCTCTTCATCTGCGTACATGTTAGCTTATGTCCGAATGTAGAGTCAGTCGGCTTGTCTGTCAGAAATACCTCTTCCAATGTCCCTGAGAGCATATATCACAATTCTCTTGCTACCATCAACCTTGATGATCTTTGCAGTGCAGTTAGGAGTACAGCTATGGTTAATGAAGCGAGCGATACCCCCTCGTTTGGTGGCATCTATAACAGTATTTTCGTCGATTCGGAAAAGGTAGCTGCTACCAATCCCGCTCTTCAAGTACTGCCTCTCTCTCATGTCTGCCACCTGCTGCCGCACCTTCTCACCAACATACTCTATGATCATATCATTCGCGGATATGTTCTCTTCCGCGTAGAGACCCCAATTGTGAATCGCTGACCGAGCAAAGCGCACTGGCTTCTTTCGTTTTTTCAACTGGTTGAAACGGAGAACATCACCATCTCCACCTTGCATAGGGAGAGCCTGTTTTTGCGCATTGATGTCTGCAACCAGTCTGCGATTATTGACCCTTGTCGATCTTGAAGTGGACTTAGATATCGTCTTCGCCGCGGAGATCCTAGCAGCTTCTGCAGCAGAAGCATGAGGATCGCTCTTTGCGTTGGCCTCCCGTTCTTCTCGGGCCTTCTGAACTTTGATACGGTGAGGCAGGTATTTTGACTTTTCCGACTCCAAGATTCTCTTTCTTCCTTCAGTCCGAGCAGCTCCAGTTGGGTTGCAAACGTAGTAATCTGGTATTCTAGTCTCTTGGTGGACAGGCCCACTTTCACCTGGACGGTTGAGAGCTTTAATCTCTTTCTGTCTCCATGACCATGCCGATAGATTTCCAACCTTGGATCTCGACTGCCCGTCCAGGACATGGCGAAGGAAGCAGAGATCCTCCTCATCCTTGACGAGATTCTGCCAGCCGTCCAAATCCAAGATTATGGTCTCATCATCATCAACTGTCGGACGAGGTTCATCATTAGACACCCCCCATTCGATCTCTGTAATCGGGTCTTCATGGCTCTTTGCAATAGTGGATTCGTCAGGTAGTGGTGGCTGAACGTCAAGATTTGCTCCTTGTATGACGGACTTGATTTGAAGCCTTTCCACATTCTCTTTCTCACCGTCCTCCTTGATTGACCTGTCTTCCAATCGACGCAGGAATTTACCCTCGATGCCAGCGAGGTCTTCGGGCTTCACGGTGCCAAGCTCAGCAGCTTCTGAGTGTTGAGACGCCTCGTTGAACAGCGTATTTTCAGTCTCCACAGAGTGATTCAACTCTGATCGCTCGCTTTCCTCCTTAGGTCGTTTACGCACTTCAATGCCTTCCGCGGCCCTTTTCCTTTTGCGTGTAGAGGAGAGACCCGGCGAATGATGCCGAGAATACCCGTCGACTGGTTCGTTAAGGACGGTACCGCTATCTCCATATTCCAAGCCTAGGAACCGCGCTTCATGCCTTTTGTCTTGGGAAGCTAGTCCATCCAAGGGTTCTGACTCCTCGCCGTCATCGGAAATTGAAGATCTGGAACTCATCCGACTCGGTGGACGACTATCCTGTTCATCAATATCCCTCGAAAATGGAGTTCGTTGGTCCTCGTCAGAGTCGTCGACATCATGCAACTGCTGTAGTCTGTGATAGAGAGGTCGTACTTCCTTTCTTCGAACAGGCTGCTTACGCCTCTCATCTAAGAAGGCGGCATCAGCACGGTTCAAACGGCGGGCTTTTCTGATGCGTGGGAGTGCAAGTATGTTAAGACCATACGGGCTGAACGAACGGCCGCCTGGTAGGGAAGACTGGGAATTGTTAGATCCAAAAGTATCAACATCAAGTTGGAAAGTATGTCTTCTAATCCCCTCAGGATCAGGAATGCCCAGAGCTCGCCTCTTTGAAGCATGTCTGTCAGGGTCGAGGTAGTCATATAACGTTGGGGCGGCGATGCGTGATTTCACATCCTCAAGAAGCTTATCTTTCAAATCGCGGACGATGAGAGCCAGGACTTCCCTGCATGGGTCCAAATCAATCGCTCGCTGTCTCTTTTCTTCCTCGAGATCCAAATCCGCCTCTTTTTTTAGCCTCTCTCTCTCTGCCCGTTCCCGTCGCTCTGCCTGGAGTCGTTCTGGGCTCGGGCTTCGCTCATAGTTGGGATTTCCATAAGGCTGGCTTTCCATATTCATAATGTAAGTAAAAAGAGGCTTCATATGGCATACTTTGAAACAACGCTCGGTTTCCTCCTCGCCGCGCCTAGAATTCTCGAAGATGATATAGTACCCAGTTTTATCGCATCGAATATCTTTCCAGTCGAATAATTTGAGTCTTTTCTTCAGATGCGGAATCGTTGTGCTCAAAACAGGAACGTAGCAGTGTGCGATGAAGATGTATGGATCCCGCTTGATTTGCCCTAATATGGGGGTTTCCTCTATCAGAGAGGGCATGGCGGGCTTGACAAAGCTCGCTCTTGGACCTTCAGGCACAGCGGCTACCGGACGCGTGGAAGATCTTGAAGGGCCTTTGGGTGCTGTCGGCGGTGGTTCATTCTTTTTTGCTTGAGGCTCGATTTTTGCCTCTTCTCCGACTGTATTTTTCCTATGTCCCATTCGCTGAGACTCAATGGCCCTTGCAACAATTCTGTCTGAGACAGCACCATCTCGATCTAGTTCAACCCTGATCCTTCGTGTCCCAATCCGTTGCTCCTTCTTGCATTCAGCGTAGGCTCGTCTGGCCGCGGTCGCCGCTGGCATTGGCCCGGCACCTCGAAAAGAGGTGCTGTCTTTGTACTTGACTGAACATACTCCAAGAAATCGACCTGTAATAGGGTCTGTGCGGTTATTTATCTCTGAAATCTCACCGAAGCTTGAAAAAAGCGCGTTTATCGGAGCAACTGGGGTTAGGGGATCGAAGCCAGTGACCACTATTTGGACTGGGGGTCCAGGACCGATAGTAGTTGCAGTATCATATGGCCACTGTTTCAGTCTATAAGGAGCCGGCCTGTATTTCGTCTTCTGCTTACAGCCTGCACCTCGAGTGTAATTCAGAATGCTCAGACGCGGGTCTGATGAACAGCTGTCTTGTTCATTCACCACAAAGTCCACATATTGTGGCTTTCTTTTCTTTTCCTTTGATGATCTTTTCTCAAGATCGGGGTCGTAAATCAACCTACAACCCTTGATTACACCACTGCGCGAGGTTTGCGACCGTGGAGTTGGCGGTGTATGAAGGGGCGTAGCAGCAAGTTTCAATTCATCGGTTGCAAACTTGTTCGATTCGTATTCGGCCACTTCAACGGACTTGGATTGATGAGGACTCAACTTGCGAGGCGGAGACGACTCTGCGTTGGTGACCGGGGTGAGATTATCGAACCGTGCCTCGTTCACCTGCGTTGCACGACACTGAGCAAGCGATGCACTTAAGATAGATGTATCCGTACCCGTTATGTCCGTGTTCGTTTCTCCAACGAGTTCGCATCCGGACTTCTCTAGACCCGTGCCGGTTTCCGATACAGATACGTCAGGTGAGCTGCCATTCGTTGAAATATTGGCTGCGCTTTTTCCAGAAGAGCAGGGCAATTGTCCATTGCCTTCCTGGACATGAAATTGATCCTCGGGCCGATCCTTGGAGCAAGATCGATCTCGCGGGGCTCTGACTCTTTTTTGTTGAAGGACAGACGGGGCAGTGGGAAAGAAGTCCGCAAAGCCTGCCGATGTGCGCGACATAATGGAAGATGGCTCACAAGCCGGAAAAGAACAGGCCGCGATCAGAACGCAGCATCCTTGACCGCGGTCTATCTGCTCATGCGATGACCCACGGCCAGGGAAATTTCCTGACAGGATGGCACAGGTGTCAACGCCTGCTGGGGAATCGATGGGGGTAATTCTTATAACCCGGAAGCAAGGAGAAAAGGGAAGTGAAAGAAGTAAGTGTTGACGTATAAACGAGACGAAGAGAAGTAATAAGATTATTAGTAGTGGAAGTAGTGACCTTGATAATTCGACAGTACTGAGTACTTGGGGCTCATGGGCAGAAAAGCGGAGTTGAACCGGAAATGAGCACGCCTGCCGACGCGATCAAGCTGGTGGCCCAGGAACGCGAACAAAGCCAGTCACTGAAAGACCTTGTGGCCGGGGAACTATTTCCATGAAGTCGGCGCAGGTTGGGTCTCAATTCTGCTAGATAGATGTCCTTGAAAATAAGGCCCAGTGTGCCACTGCAGAAATATCTATAAAATCATTGTGGTGTTGAGAAGAGGCTAGGTTACGAATGTCTACCACTCCTTTCAAGACATACCAGAAGATTGCATTGCTGACTACTCCATTCCTCTGTCACCAATTCCGAGATCCTCC